AAAATATTAAAAAAGAAAAAGAACAAAAACAAAAAAATGAACCCACCGTCTCATAGTGTCCACAGCCATTTCTGTTGGTGCAAGCCTCTGTGTCGTATGTATAGTCAAAGCCTTCTTCCCACCAGTTTTGGACGGTTGTGGCTTCGTTGTAGCCTGGAGCTAGACAGGATGACACAAGCAAACGTTTAACCCTATCCGTACGCCCTGGGGTCATTTTGTAACCTCGGGGTTGTATTTTTCACAAGTTAGAACATTTTTTGTAGGAAGATCTCTTTGAAACTTTCAGTACTTCTCACAAAATCTTTTTGACAGACTGCTATGCAAAGTGTACCGATCGGATACGAGTACATTTCCTCTTTGGAAAGTGGTAGCACAGAGTTCCCCACGTCGCATGGATACGATAGTAAAACACGACGCATGGATAGGGTTAAGGTAAAAAAGAAAAGTACCGTATAACCAGTAATAGTAAAGTATAGCAACCCATTTCAAACTTTTAGACCTAGTGCGCAACATCCAGAATCACTCTGGATTCACAATGGGGTTGCAGCAGCTGTGTTTGTTTTACTAGAGTTTTTACGGCGCTCGCAAATGCATAAGGTCATATGAGCGTCAAGGGGTGGATGTCAACAGAGGAGTCCTTACACAGGGAATCGGGCTTACTCTACTCACCTTACAGCACAAAGTCTGCTTCGACTATCAAGGCACCCCGGAAATAGCGGGTCACAAGAGTGTGACAAACATACATAAGAAGTAGAAGAAAATGACGATAGTAAAGATTCGGAAAGAAAAAGCAGCAGTTCCCTGCTGCAATTCAGGCACAGTTATGAGCGTGACATCGGTGAATCAGCCCGTTTACAATTGCAATTCTACTGTGCATAAGAACATGGTTGGTGTCCCCCCCTTTGGGAATGACCTAAAGAAACTTCAGCCAGTGGCACTGCACCGGGAGGTACAGCTGTGTCTACAGGGCCAGGTAACAATGGTTGTGATTGCAGAGATTCCCGAACATATTAGAAAAAAATAATTAAAATGTGTTTTTAAAAAAAAATTTAAAAAATTTTGCGCTTTACAGCGATAACAGAACTGTTTTCCGAGTCTGTAAGACATAGGCCTAGCTGTAACCCCACTGTGACCCCAATTTTACCCCTGATGTCGCGCTGTTGCGCACTTTGTCAATTAATTGGAAATGGGAAATTCTGGTGGAAATTATTCTGTCAGTTCATGTTACAATAAGATTGTGCAGGCTAGATTTATAACACTAAAGATCGTTCATAACAAGCTAGTTCACTGCTCTTTTTGAGCCAATTAAATTTTGTTGCCAACATTTTGGCGTTTAATTACCAAGACAGCCAGACAGATAGTCAATTGATTGCTGCCATCTCTCTTCTTTTTTTCTTCTTTTTTTTTGGGGGGG